CTCTCCTGTAGGCCTCCTTTCAAGATTCCTCCCCATCACTCCTGTAGGCCTCCTTCAGAGACTGGAAGGGGCTCTAAGGTCTCCTTGGAGCCTTCTCTTCTCCAGGCTGAACAACCCCAACTCTCTCAGCCTGTTTTGCTAGAAGAAGTGCTCCAGCCCTCTGAACATTTTCGTGGCCCTCCGATGGACCCGTTCCAACAGGTCCATGTCCTTCCTGTGCTGAGGACTCCAAAGCTAGATGCCGTACTCCAGGTGGGTTCTCACCAGAGCAAAGCAGAGGAACAAAATCACCTCCCTGGACCTGCTGGCCACAGTTCTTTCGATGCAGTCCAGGATGTGGGGAGCTTTCTGGGCTACCAGCACACATTGCTAGCTCATGTTGAGCTTCCTGTCCACCAACAACCACAAGTCCTTCTCCTCAGGGCTGCTCTCCAGCCATTCTCTGCCCAACCTGCATTTGGGCCTGGGATTGCCCTGCCCCAGGTGCAGGACCTTGCACTTGGTTTGGGCTACCAGCACACATTGCTAGCTCATGTTGAGCTTCCTGTCCACCAACAACCACAAGTCCTTCTCCTCAGGGCTGCTCTCCAGCCATTCTCTGCCCAACCTGCATTTGGGCCTGGGATTGCCCTGCCCCAGGTGCAGGACCTTGCACTTGGTTTGGTTGAACTTCATGAGGTTCACACAGGCCCACGTCTACAGCCTGGCCAGGTCCCTCTGGATGGCATCCCTTCCCTCCAGCGTGTCAACCGCACCACAACTTGGTGTGGTAGGGAAACCTGCCTGGTAGGGAAGTGGGATTTTCTTCACCCGTAATTTCCAGGGACACTCCTGAAGCCCTTTCCAGAAAGCCCTTGGTGCTTTCTATTGGCACCAAGGCTGGTTTTAGCAGCAGATTACTCACTGTTGTTTATATTTTAGCAGTTTTAAATATTTCCCCCCACCCACCAGTAGCCAATTCAAGTAAGACCTTGCCATTGACTTAATTTCTCCCTTGCTCCAAAGAACGACCCTGCTGCAAAGACACATGGGTGAACTCCCACGTATTTTTCAGAAAAACCCTAAATTTACAGTTCTTCATTAAGAATACAGTTGTTTACCAGATGAGGAGATTCAACTACTAGAAATACCCGAGAGGGATGCAGTAAAAAAACCTTGAAAGCTGTCCCTTCTTTCCAAAGTAATTTGACTTGAAGAAAGTCTTCACAACTTAGGTTCTCAATTAACCACGATTATTTATACAGAGGAATTGGTTGCACAGAGATTTCCACATCAAAAAAAGGTTCAAAACAAGTTCTAAAAGAGAACGGACTGGATAAGAGAGAGCCCAGTAACTGGGTAAAGAAGCCACCATAGACCAGTAGGGGCTTTAGCAACTGGACCCCAGACAAGGGCACACCGGCAGAGGAACGGCACCAGCACGACTTCCCTTCCCATTATTGGATTTTTCAGTCTTTCAAAAATGGTTCAATGGTTTTTAGTTTGATGTTTTATTGCAACTTATAAAAAAGTCACATTCCTGGGGCACCCGCAGGTTTCTAATGTCACACCACAGAAAGCCCGCACCATCCAAGAGACAGAAATGTTTACAAAAACTCGAAGAGATAAGATCCTGCCAAGGTCACTACGTGCCCGGTTTGTGATACACAGAACACAGGGAGACACACAGAGGGAGTGAAAATCCCTTTAGAATCACAGAATCGTACAGGCAGGAAGGGACCTTTCAGATTGAGTCCAACCATCAACCCAACACTGACAAAAACCACCATGAACCATGTCCCTCAGCACCACGTCTGACTGGCTTTTAAATATCTTAAAGGATGGCGACTCCACCACTGCCCTGAGCGGCCCATTCCAAGGCTTAAGAATCCTTTTGGGGAAGAAATTGTTCCCAATCTCCGCCAAGGCTTACATCTCTTTTGGGGAAGAAATTGTTCCCAATCTCCATTCTAAACCTCCACTGGGGCAACTTGAGGCCATTTCCACACAACTTGAGGCCGTTTCCTCCTGTCCCATGGCCTGTTCCTCGGGAGAAGAGACTGACCCCCCCCTGGCTACACCCTCCTTTCAGGGAGTTGGAGAGAGCCAGAAGGTCTCCCCTCAGCCTCCAGGCTCAGCACCCCCAGCTCCCTCAGCCGCTCCTCACCAGACTTGTGCTCCAGACCCCTCACCAGCTCTGTTGCCCTTCTCTAGACACGCTCCAGCCCCTCAAGGTCTTATTTTTCTTATAACGGTCCCAAAACTGGGCCCAGCCCTCGAGGTGGGGAAAGGTCTTCTTTTTCTTGTAACGGGCCCAAAACTGGACCTAGCCCTCGAGGTGGGACCTCACCAGGGCCCAGTCCAGGGGGACGACCACCTTCCAAGTCCTACTCACCGTGCTGTTCCTGACACAGGCCAGGATGCTGTTGCTTTCTTGGCCACCTGGGCACACTGCTGGCTCATGTTCAGCCCACAGTCGACCAACAACCCCAGGTCCTTTTCCATGGGGCAGCTCCAGCCACTCTGCCCCCAGCCTGGAGCGTCCATGGGGTTGGTGTGACCCAAGTGCAGGACCCGGCCCTTGGTCTTGTTGAACCTCACAGCACTGGCCTAGGCCCATCCATCCAGCCTGTCCCGATTCCTCTGCAAACCCCTTTGCAAACTGACTTTGCAGGGGTTACCGTAAAACAGCCATAAACCCCCAGGGCCAGCCAGAACTTTACCCGGGCCATCTGCTCATTTTTATATTATTTCCAATGATTGTTTTACGGTGAAGATATTAAATTCACTTCTGGCATTACTTCCAAGTAAGAGCATTAACTGCTGATGGCCAACCATGCATGGAAGCATGCAATTATTTTGTATAAACCTCAATAATTAATTTTACCTCCAGTATTACATGGAAATATTTACTTTATAACCATTTCCACGTACTAAACATTTAGTCAGCCTAATAGCTGCCTTCCAGTACCTGAAGGGGGCCTACAGGAAGGCTGGGGAGAACCTGTTTACAAAGGCCTGCAGTGACAGGACGAGGGGAAATGGCTTTAGGCTGGAGGGGAACAGATTTAGACTGGAGATGAGGAGAGGGTTCTTCACTGTGAGGGTGGTGGAGCACTGGAACAGGTTGCCAAAGAGGTGGTTGAGGCTCCTTCCCTGAAGATATTCAAGGTGAGGCTTGATGAGGCCCTGGGCAACCTGGTCTAGTTGGGGGTGTCCCTGCTGACTGCGGGAGGGTCAGACTAGATGACCTTTGGAGGTCCCTTCCGGCCCGGACAACTCTATGACTCTATGACTCTATAACCTTCCAGGAATTTGTGTTCAGTTCTGGGCTCCCCAGTTCCAGAAGGACAGGGAGGCCAAGGGCATCCTGGGGGGCATCAGGAAGAGTGTGAGCAGCAGGTGGAGGGAGGTCATCCTGCCCCTCTGCTCTGCCCTGGGGAGGCCCCAGCTGGAGCACTGGGACCAGTTGTGGGCTCCCCAGTTCCAGAAGGACAGGGAACTGCTGGAGAGGGGACAGCAGAGGCTACAAAGATGATGAGGGGCCTGGAGAATCTCTGCTGAGGAAAGGTTGAGGGACTTGGGTCTTTTTAGTCTGGAGAAGAGAAGGCTGAGGGGGGATCTGATCAACACCTCTAAATCCTTAAAGGGTGGGTGTCAGGAAGATGGGGCCAGGCTTTTTTCAGTGGTGCCCAGGAACAGGACAAGAGGAAGTGGGCACAAACTTGAACAGAAGAAGTTCCATCTAAACACGAGGAGGAACTTCTCCACTTTGAGGGTGGCAGAGCCCTGGAAGAGGCTGCCCAGAGAGGTGGTGGAGTCTCCTTCTCTGGAGACATTCAAACCCCACCTGGACACATTCCTGTGGGACCTGCTCTGGGTGGCCCTGCTTTGGCAGGGGGTTGGACTGGATGATCTCCAGAGGTCCCTTCCAATCCCTTATCATTCCATGATTCTGTGATCCTGTGAACGCAGATCCGAGGCAGAGCAATGAATTCAGAACACGGGCTGTGATTCACTCCAAGACAGACACACATAGTTGCCCCAGAAGGGGTTAACTTAGTCAAGACAAAATGGAATTACGTACAAAACTCCCTTGGAGGCCTCCCTTGGCGCTCGCCTTTTCTACTCAGGTTACCTGCTTTTCAGATCAATATTTTTCTCCCCTGGTACGTAAAAGTCTGATGATACTACAGCCATTTGTTATAATACAGCGACAGTTCTTCAATAAAGCAATTTTAAATGGAAATTACAAACTTCCAAGTAGCCACGCCTGATTGCATCACCAGGAAACAGTTTGTAGATAGCAAACTTAAACAAGCTTTGAAAATGTTAATACATGGAACGCAGCTGTATAAAGCATGAATTAGCTTTAAAAAGCTGATTTTACAACTTATGTGCAACTATTTAAGTTACAGGAATAGTGTAAGAGTAATTCTAAGATGATATTAAAACAAAAACAACAAGTGGGCAATCATATTTGAACTTTTGAAGTACGTCGTTTCCTATGAGTTCAAGTACCTGCTCTTGGCCTGGCTGGGCAACCTGCCACCGTGAGCACAGCAGGGCTGATTGGTGTTCTCTAAAATTCATCGCTTGAAACCGAGATTATTTAATGATTATATTTTCATTAATCACACCATAAAGAAATGTTCTCATCAGGTAATTGGATACCAAAAAAAAAAGGGTTACCGTATATGCCACTGAGGAATTATCTCCAGCTACTTAAGGTCGACTCCAATAGGAAAATGCAGGTTTTAGTTTTACAAACTGGATTCCTTTATCCAAGCTTTTCAGAAAAAAAGGGAATTAAAAAGAAAAGGGACTGCTTGTTAATTGGTACCACAGATCCTGCCCACTGTGCCAGGATCTATTGATTTAACTGCACTCTCATCTACTGCGGCGCATTGGAAAATTCAACGTTGCCATCGCAAAACAACCCGAGATTTTGTACTCAGCTCATTTTTACATTCCAGATTCTCACCCTTCCCCACTCCTCATACAGAAATTAGCTCCCTTACCTTCATAATGTTTACTAAATCTGTTTGATAATAGCGATCCTGGTGTGCATTAGCAGCTGCTAAAGTGAGAAGATAATCGTTCCTTGCATGGATAGCCTTGGAGTTACACTCGGATCGTCGTGCTTTTAACTGCAACAAGAAAACTTCAAGTTAAAAGACAGGTACTAATGAGAAGTTAAATCACCAAACATCTATTAATAGTAATTAACATGGATATGTACGTATCAATACAGTCAAAACTTAAAGGATTAACAGCTTAACAGTTTTGTTAATGGTAAGGGGTAATGGTAAGTTAATTTCTAATGTATTTTGCTCTCATGCAGTTGTAATTTCAAACGTGGTCTTCAAAGAGCAGGTCTAACTCCCACTGGAAAAAAATTTTCCTTATATACTTGGTCATAAGTAATTCTGTGCTCTGTGTGCTGAAAGATTCTGCTGTTACCTCATCACTTCTTCTAACAATTTATCTTCCCCAACATCAGTCATCTCTATATTCTCTAGATTTCATGTGTCTCATGAAATTAGCTGCAAAGAATGATTATAAGAATTTGTAAGGTGTTTCTTTTATACTCACCTTTACACTTGCCTTCTGCAAGCTTATTCTTGACTGAAAAAGACTAAGTTTGGACCTGAAACAAATATTAAAAGAAGAGATTAATGTCTTATACCCCTTCCACAAAAGTACAAGATAAGCACGTCACTGCACTTCACTTCTGCAAAATTTTTAATTTAAGTAAATTTTTATGTCTGAATTTTTATTTGTATGGCTTTAAACAAAGGAAAATATTACAAATTATACTGAGCTACCTCAATAGCATCTTCACTGCATGTTCTGAAATCTTTTGTACCAGCTTATCCTGTTTTTTTGAACAAAATTTAAATACATCACGAAAGGGAAACTGAGTGGCGGCTGCAAATCAAGTTATTTTGGTGTTTGATGCATTTTGATCAGTCCATCAGACACAAAGTGCTGGAAATCAGTTGGTCATACAAAGGAATATTGATGCAAAATTATTAATAATTACATCCCAGGAAGCTGGAAGAGTACTCAAATATGCACACATATTTTTAAAAGGAGAACTGGTGTGATTTTCACGTTGGGATTAATGAAAGAGGAATTAGAGAAGCACTTTATTAGCTATTTGAAAGACAGTGGTTTAAAAAGTAAATAAGAAAACAAAATCAAGTCAATAGCTATTTTAGTCAGGACAGTGCTGCAGTATGAATCTGGCCCAAAATTCCCAAGCTCAAACATTTTGTTGCTTTTTTTTTTTTTTGTTTGTTTGTCTTTTTTTTTACTTTCTCTGGATATCACAGGTAATTTTATTAAAGTTCTTCTTTTCATCATCCAGCCCTCATAAAGCAAAAGATGGAAAATTTCTCTAATGAAACCGTAATTTCTTTTCGTTCCCTAAGAACAACCCTGAGGAATTTCACAAAAAAAAACATAAAAAAAAGAAATAAGCTTGCAAAAAAAGGGTAAGGCAAACTCCCCTCAGAGAGGCCAAACTCCAAAGTGAAAACATGTGAGTTACTGCCTTTCCTGAAAGGAAGGAAATCAACCTCTTTAGGATGTCAGGGAGCATAAAAAGCTAAAGCCTCAAAAATTTCTCTTCAAAAATGGAAAACAGCATCCCATCCCCTCTCCCCCTCCAAACGGACTGATACCAAACCTGAGATCTGTGGAGAGAAACCAAAAGCAGCAGTTTTTAATATCAAAAAAAGCGCCAGCTCACACGCTGTCCTTCCAAAAAGTCAAATTAAAGCAGGTAGTTTAACTTCCCTCCAAAAAAAACCAGCCTCAATGAGTTATATGTTGTATATTTTTCCAGGGGAAAAGCACACCTAAAATGGTTACAAAAATGTATATAAGCAAAAAGAAAAAACTTTGGCAAGGGCTCATTGAAAGCAATTCTCTTTCTTCTACAATAATATCAAGCGTGAAAACTAATACAAGTACAAATCTGCCTTATACACACGCAATTATTTATACATATGCTATTATAAAAACATACTTGGCCTCAATATCAGCTTTCTCCCGCACCGCTTGAGCCATCTGTTCAGTCTCAAAATATTTCTTTTTGCCTTTAGCTAAATCTTTTACTGTCTCTTGCAATTCAGCTTGGATCCGTGTCAACTGGTCCACGCACTGAAAAAAAACCAAAAAAAAACATTCAGGAAACAAAGCATTAATGGTGGTTTTTTTTTTTTTGCATCCAAATAATACCATCATCATCATTTTCCTACTTTTTGTTACATTTTAGGTGGAATGACACATTTTCAATTATTTAGGTCTTTCTTTCAAAGCTGATCAGGACATAAAACTGTATTTCTTCCTTTCTTTCCGCTGCGGTTCAACTATTCAAATTCAATGATAACTTGCAAATTAAATATCAAAGTCCTGAAAGCTTTGGACAAGGTAATTAGTTGAAATAAGTGGAAGAAATCCAAAGGCAATCTAACTGGAGGCGATACAAAAAAATGATTCATTTTTCCTCTTCTAAAACGCCAAACAAAAGCTACCACGTAAAATACAGCACAACAGGAACCACAACAATTTAATAAACATTATTTTAAGAGCTCATTTTTTTAAGCTATTCCAAGAGTTTTCCAATAAATAGGGTTGTACCAGAAATCAGTGCTGTTCATAAAGAAAATTTAGAGGCTTAAAACGCAGCGAGACAAGGAGCGACAGTAATGCCATCCCTTTTCATTAATATGACCCAACCAGTGCTATGATGTACATTTTAATGTCAAAAAATAAACTGTCTTTATCTCAACCCAGAAGTTTTTGCACTTTTAACCCTTCCCATTCTCTCCCCAATCCCGTGGGATGGGGGGCGGGTGATGGATCTATGTTAAGCTGAAAGGATGTGCTTAACAAAACAAACAGGAACATCCCGCCAGGGTGGGTGATGGATCTATGTTAAGCAGAAAGGATGTGCTTAACAAAACAAACAGGAATTTGCAATATCTAGAATTATACCGTCTTTGAAAGAGATTTGTAAAGATTTTCTTTGACCCAACCTAGCTTAAATACATGTAAAAGTGATAATTCAATGCATTTATATAAAATTATAGATATTACAGAGTAGATGTCAATGAAGGCTCTAGGCAATACATAAGAGGCAGCGCCTCAAGCGAAGGGAACTTAAGGAAACTTAAGTTTAAAGAAACCAATTTGCTTTTTAATTTGCCTTTTTGGCCTTCAAAGACCAGACCCAAGGTCCCACCTCTTTTCACATCATGGTCACCCACCCGACTTCTCCCATTCAAGGTGCCACACGTTGTCCTCCCACTCAGCACCCCCCCTAAACAGCCAAGGTTTTTCATTACACTAATTATTAACGCACGTAACCTCCTTTAAAAGCTTTGCAAGCCTAATGAGGTGACGCAATCCAACAATGCAACATTAATTTCACAGTATTCAAAAACCATTAAATCATTTTTCTACAGTCACCTGTAGAAAAAGAAAAGAAATTTAGTTCAATTAAATAGAAATTGTTCATCTTCTCATCTCACTAAAAATGTCAAATTTCTTTCTGGCTATAAAGTACATAAAAATTAATATAATAAGCCCCGTATTTGATGTGGGCAGAGCAATAAAGCAATGGGCTCCGTAAGGTAAGCTTCGTGGTGGGTGGTTCAGTGCATGATAGAAAAAAGAAAGGTAGAAAAATCTGTATATATTGGACAGCTGACAGAGACCTAAAATCATTTCAAAAAGAGTGGGTTTTTGCTACATCAATGGGTATTTCGATCCCTGAAGTCTCCCGCCGGCCTCAAAAAATTAAAATATCAAATAACCCCGGTTGTTAACGCGATGGTTTTAAAAGCATCAAATGATGTTGCTTTTAAATCTCTGAAGAAAACGATGAGGGGACTGGATGCCATTTAGGGGTTTGGGGTTGGGTAGACTCCGGGGAAAAGCTAATGGCAGGGGGTGGGCTGCTGTCCCCACACCCCCGCGGCCAAGAGGCACCAAGGGAGGGCAGGGGATCAATTTTCTTCAGAGGTCAAGCGTGGTCTCCAGGAGACACATTTATTACCCTCCTCCAGAGCCAATCGGCCATTTAGCGACAGCTTTCGGCAAATGATGATGAGGTTTTCTGAAATTGGTCCAGTTTAGCATTAAAATTGGTCATAAAAATGAAGTTTCTCTACGCTACCCAGGCGAGGAAGAAAAAAGGTTTATAGAAACATCTGGAAAATAAAGATGACATCTCATCAAAAGCAACTCAATACCTACTGAGATCTTGGAAGGAGACGCTGCTTCTACTAGAAACTCGATTAGAGATGGGCATTCCAGGGTAAAGTTACAAGTATTTTATCGTCTCTGAATTTCAATTTTGATAAGTTTTTGCCTGGATGGAGGTCAGCAAAACATGTTATTTGTCTGTTTGGAAATCCAAGGGAAAGGGTGAGAGACTGGACTGCGTGAAACGCTACATTTGTTGTGGGGAAAAGTTAATACCAAGTGGATGGTTCTTCCAGATTGTGGGGAAAAAAGCTTTATCACTGATAAAATACTTTTGAACCGGAATTACTGCCCTGATAATTGGAATCACTTCTTCAACGACTCCAAAGCGTAGGAAGAAAGAAACCTCTATCATTTATATAAATTTAAAGACGTGCTCCCCAATTCCACTGCTGACTCGTAAACACTGAACTACTAGCATTTGCAGGAGAATAAAACTGGAGACTATTTACCCAATAAAAATATTATAAAATTGGTGCAGTATTGCTTGGCAAGGTCCACAGAAGAAGAAAATTCCCCAGGACAGTAAACTAACATTAATACAGTTAAGTTTTCCTCCAGAAAAACAGATATTGCACGTGCTTCTGAGAGCTGTGCAACAATTTGTGCAGAAACTGAGAGCTCAGGTCACGCTAACATCTGCTTTAAAGTTTGTAGCCAAATATTTGACAAAATACTGCTTTAGGATATAGTAAGTAAATAAGTAAGTTACAATATCCCCTCTGCTCTGCCATGGGGAGGCCCCAGCTGGAGCACTGGGACCACTTGTGGGCTCCCCAGTTCCAGAAGGACAGGGAACTGCTGGAGAGGGGACAGCAGAGGCTACAGAGATGATGAGTATTGTGTGCAGGTCTGGAGCCCTCAATATAAGAAGGACATGGACCTGATGGAGAGGGTCCAGAGGAGGGCCACAAGGATGATCAGGGGGATGGAGCACCTCTGCTACGAGGACAGGCTGAGGGAGCTGGGGTTGTTCAGCCTGGAGAAGAGGAGGCTCCGGGGAGACCTAATAACAGCCTTCCAGTACCTGAAGGGAGCCTACAGGAAGGCTGGGGAGAACCTGTTTAGAAAGGCCTGTAGTGACAGGACGAGGGGCAATGGCTTCAAGCTGGAGGGGAACGGATTTAGACTGGAGATGAGGAGAGGGTTCTTCACTGTGAGGGTGGTGGAGCACTGGAACAGGTTGCCCAGGGAGGTGGTTGAGGCCCCTTCCCTGGAGATATTCAAGGTGAGGCTCGACGAGGCCCTGGGCAACCTGGTCTAGTTGGGGGTGTCCCTGCTGACTGCGGGGAGGTGGGACTAGATGGCCTTTGGAGGTCCCTTCCGGCCTGGAAAACTCTATAACTCTATCACTCTCTATGACTCTATGATGAGGAGCCTGGAGCATCTCTCTTATGAGGAAAGGCTGAGGGACTTTGGCCTTTTTAGTCTGGAGAAGAGAAGGCTGAGGGGGGATCTGATCAACACCTCTAAATCCTTAAAGGCTGGGTGTCAGGAGGATGGGGCCAGTCTTTTTCCAGTGGTGCTCAGTGATAGAAGAGGAAATGGGCACAAACTTGAACAGAAGAAGTTCCATCTCAACATAAGGAGGAACTTCTTCACTTTGAGGGTGGCAGAGCCCTGGAAGAGGCTGCCCAGAGAGATGGTGGAGTCTCCTTCTCTGGAGACATTCCAACCCCACCTGGACACGTTCCTGTGGGACCTGCTCTGGGTGGCCCTGCTCTGGCAGGGGGTTGGACTGGATGATCTCCAGAGGTCCCTTCCATCTCCATGGGATGCTGTGATTCTGTAATAGGTTGTCGTCACTTTTTAGCAAACAAACCTGAAATTCTTGCTTTGGGCTTTTTTTATCTTTTACCTTGAGTTCAGGCAACCTCAAATTAAAGCCAGAGCTGATGTTAATAAACGCTCAATGATAACGGGGAAGGAATATTTAGAAGCGCCAACTAATATCAGAGACACTTGTAAAGTCTGTTCCATCAGCATTTCTCTTTCTCTCCTTGTGTTAAGATTAATCCAAGCCACGTAACGAGCATTTCAAAAGATGGTTCTTGAAAACCTCCAAAAATGTATGTTTGGGGCCATAGTGACTTTTTGTAAACTCTGCTCGCTCTTTAAAACAGGAGGTTTTCCCCTCGCTGCAGCCAAATCCACACCACACAAACAGTAAATAATCAAAATATGAAGAGTATTTAGCCTTACTTAGAGACACATCATCGTATTTTTGAAATATTTCTTACTGCCTTATGGAAACAGATCGAACATCGCATTTTAGTCAAAACACACTCTGGATGCAGAGGTACGGCAGAGACCTCTTAAGACATAAATGGCTTTAAAATGCAACAACCGATTAAATTAAAGTCAAGCTTTTTTTTTTTTTTCCTTGACCTACGCTATTTTCTTTGTGTGGATTAACAGATCAATTATAGCAGCTTTTGGAATGCTTAACTTGTGACACCTTTATCCACATGGCTGGACAACCTCCATTCCACATCTTGAAGATCACACGAGTAATTCTTTTCTATTTAAGATACATTTTTTCTTCAAATCAGGACCTATTATAATAAAATCCACCTGCAATTGGCACTGCAAAACCAATTTGATGCAATGGCCACAGCATGACGGTGGATTCGCAGAGATAGTTTTTGACCAATTGGGTATCGAATTTTAAAAGACTTGTTTCCAAACAATTTTAATTTCAGATAACATGGCTCAGATCTGCCACAAGCTGCCGATTTATTCCCTAACAACGTGCTTAGGAAGAGACTAAAAAATACACACGTATTTTAGAAGCGCTGTACTACAAGATTTCTAATAACAATTTTCTCAAAATAAAACTAAGCACATTTTAAAGAATTTAGAAAAGCACAAATACCTTCTTCAGCTGCTGCTCCTTAAAGCACCGCACGGTCCTGGCTGGTTCAGAAATTAAGTTTTTATAGTTCTCACAGATGTTGAGTCGGGACTGGGCCACTTGCATCGTGCCTTCGAGAAGTGATTTCCAAACCGAGTACATGCTCCTGAAATAATGAAACACAGAAAGGTCGCGGGTGGGAAGGAAGGGAAGGCGTTACGCTGACAGCAGGGCTTGGTTTAAATAACAGTAGCATAATTTCACTGAATTTCACTGAATTTTTTAGAGTTGGAAGGGACCATAGAGATCATCTAGTCCAACTCCCCTGCTGAAGCAGGACCACCCAGAGCTTGTCAGAGCATGTTACTCAGGAGCATCCAGGTGGGGCTTGAAAATCTCCAAAGAAGGGGACTCCACACCCTCCCTGGGCAGCCTGTTCCAGGGCTCTGCCACCCTCACTGTGAAGAAGTTTCTCCTCATATTCGAGTGGAACCTCTTATGTTCCAACTTGTGCCCGTTGCCCCTCGTCCTCTCACTGGGAACCACTGAAAAGAGTCTGGTTCCCTCCTCCTTCAACCCTCCCTTGAGATACTTGTAGGCATTGATAAGGTCTCCCCTCAGCCTTCTCTTCTCCAGACTAAAGAGTCCCAGCTCTCTCAGTCTCTCCTCATAAGGGAGATGCTCCAATCCTTGAATCATCTTTGTAGCCCTACGCTGGACTCTTTCCAGTAGTTCCCTGTCCCTCTTGAACTGGGGAGCCCAGAACTGGACACAGGATTCCAGTTGTGGCCTCACCAGTGCAGAGCAGAGGGGGAGAATGACCTCCCTTGACCTGCTGGCCACACTCTTCCCTATGCAGCCCAGGATTCCGTTGGCCCTCGTGGCCACAAGAGCACACTGTTTGCTCATTGTCATTTTGCTGTCCACCAGGACCCCTAGATCTTTCTCTTCAGAAGTTGCCTCCAGCAGGTCCACCCCTAACCTATACTGGTACCTGACATTTTTCTTACCCAGGTGCAGGACCCTACACTTTTCCCTGTTGAACCTCATGAGGTTCTTCCTTGCCCAATTCTCCAGCCTGTCCAGATCTCGCTGGATGGCAGCACGGCCCACTGGGGTGTCAGCCACCCCTCCCAGCTTCTAAAAATAGAACTAAAGCACAATCCTTCCTGCTGATCCAGCAAATAGTCACACTTTTAACAAAAAATTTAACCAAACTTTTATCAAAGGTAAAAATTTTTCCTCCTGTCCCCATTTTGGGCTTCTGTTTTTTGGCAAATATTTTGCGTTGAACATGTTGCTCTGATGGAACAGGCCCCACAGAACCCAACAGCCAAAGCCAGAGTGGATGCTGACAGGATTTTTTGTAAGACCGTGGATTTAGTGATTTTGGGGATTTTGCAATCAAGCAGTTACAGACTCCTCAGCAGTTTTGCCTCCGCTGCCTGTAGTTCCTTCATAGAATCATAGAACGGTCAAGGTTGGAAGGGACCTTTCGATCATCAAGTCCAACCATCAACCCAACACTGAAAAACCCACCACTGACCCATGTCCCTCAGCACTTTCAAATCCCTCCAGGGATGGTGACTCCACCACTGCCCTGGGCAGCCTCTGCCAAGGCTTCATAACTCTTTTGGGGAAGAAATTGTTCCAAATATCCATCCTAAACCTCCCCTGGAGCAACTTGAGGCCATCTCCTCTTGTCCCATCGCCTGTTCCTTGGGAGAAGAGACCGACCCCCCCTGGCTACACCCTCCTTTCAGGGAGGTGGAGAGAGCCAGAAGGTCTCCCCTCAGCCTCCTTTTCTCCAGGCTCAACACCCCCAGCTCCCTCAGAAGTTCTCCAGACCCTTCTCCTTGTGCTCCAGACCCCTCACCAGCTCCGTTGCCCTGCTCTGGACACGCTCCAGCCCCTCAAGGTCTTTCCTGTCATAAGGGACCCAAAATTGGACCCAGGCCTCAAGGTGGGGCCTCCCCAGTGCCCAGTCCAGGGGGACGGTCACTGCCCCAGTCCTGCTGGCCACACTGTTCCTGATACAGGCCAGGATACTGGTGGCCTTCTCTAGACCCCTCACCAGCTTCACTGTCCTTCTCTGGACTCACTCCAGTGTCTCAATGTCTTTCCTGTAGCGAGGTGCCTAAGACATCATGTGTAGTAGCCCAAAGACAGCAACCATAACCCTGTAATTGTAGGGCCTCAGTAATTCACCAGAAAAGCTCAGAAATGCCCAACTCAGAAGGAGAAGGTGGAGCAGGGAGAGTGGGCCAAGAAGATGAGAAGATCCCCCCTGCAGCTGGCAGAAAGGAAAGATCTCTGGAGCCTGCAGAGCCCACGGACTCAGTGAGAGAGAGGGAGGGGGTGGCAGGTGTTTGGAGAAGACCTCTGGGCACTGTGGGTGTATCTGATGGCACAGAAGGCAGAAGAAAGACTCGTTGGGTGGAGCAAACTGTAGGTAAGAGGGGTATGTGTGTCATGGGAGCATTTTATATAGTCTTAAGACTGATAATTCAGTTTATTTCTGCTTAGACACACAAGTGGTGTGAAGGGACTGAAAGTCCAAAACACAAATCTATCAACAGCTTCTTCCTGTTTGAAATCAAATTTGTCCGAATACAAACAACGCATTAAAACCAAGTATCTTCAAAGTTTTTCAAAATATTTAGGAGGTATTATTCAGAGGTGGGGGAGGCTTTCAGCAACTAAGTCATTTCTGGTTTGATGTTATGATCCACCTTTCATGTTAATGACACTGAGTTTTGTAAACAAGCGTGTCTTGCTTTGCCTCCTCCTTGCTCTCAGATGGGATCTTCATGAAGAATGATGCCTCCCAAAAAAGAAATGTGTTGCTTTTTTTTTTCCTATGAAGAAATCCACACGCTTATTACTCTAACCGTAAAGCTATTTACTAAAATATATATTCAGATACAAGCGTTAATCCCCAAACAAAGTGCACAATTACAGTTGTTGTCCTGTCTTGCCATTTTGTTTCTCCAATCCCCCTAAATTATTCGAGTAATAAACGTCTATTTAAGACCAATCTCGGAATTTCAGGGGAAAACAAAGCTTCATTTTTAACTGGCAACGCTCTACAACAGGGAAAAAAAAAATTACTTTAACTACAGAAGAGCAGTGTTTCATTGTTGAGTAAAATAATTATACAAATGGAAATTATAAAGACAGCTATTTCGAGATATCCAACTGTTAAATTACCTATAATCACTTCGTTCATCAGCTTTCATTCCAAGCCAGTCCTTCTTCAAGTATTGGCTAGCCAGCTTCTGAATGCTCTGTTAAAAGAAGGAAAAAAACCAATAAAAGTTAAAAATAAGAGGTATCTAAAAATCACATTTTTGCTGCCAGATGAGCCAAATGATAAACTGACATATAAAGAAATAATCAATTTACAGAATTAGCAAAATGCTACAATGCAAAGCTTATTTTCACCTTTTTTTGTAGTTTTGTTTGATTTTAGTTGCTCTTGAGACAAATTACTGAGTTTCATCTTAATGTTGTAATTCAGAGGGACTCTGAATCTACTGAGTTTTACACTGAAAATCTTTCTGTGTGTGACTGCGCCCAGTAAAACCAGTAACACAGAAGATGCCTGAGCAGCGTGTGGCAGAACCAGCAGAAGGAATATTGCAAAATGTCTCGATTTATCCCAGTTCTAAGAGTGACAATTTTTACTGAACTGAATGAGGCCACGGGGTTCTGAGAAGCAATAAAATATCCAGCCATTTATGAGCCCAAACTGAAACATCCAACTCTGATCATTCACGTTATGAGTGAAGTGAAGATGCTCAACTACTCCCGGGTTCAGCCCTTTCCTCAGAAGATTACGATACACTAGAGATTGAAAAATGCACTTCATTTTTAATTATTAATGTTAATTACGCTCTTTAGTCTCTGCATTCTGCTTTGCAAAGCCTGGGAAAAATCAATAACAACATTTTCGTATTCAACCTTCAAGAGAGCAGCAAAATTTAACGCGTAAACAACAGGGGAGAGGGGGGTCGCCGTCGCAGCAGTCCCTCCTTTGGCTCCAAATCTCAATTAATATATCGCTTATGAATTAAGTAGCATCAAATGGAACAAAAGGATGCATATTACCCAAATATTACCCAGTTCAGATTAGATCTCAAGAAGAAATTTTTTACTATGAGGGTGGTGAGAGCCTGGCCCAGGTTGCCCAGGGAAGTAGTGGATGCCCCATCCCTGGAGGGGTTCAAGGCCAGGCTGGATGGGGCCTTGAGCAACCTGGTCTGGTGGGAGGTGTCCCTGCCCATGGCAGGGGGTTGGAACTTGATGATCTTTGAGGTCCCTTCCAACCCTAATCATTCTATGATTCTATGAAATCACAGAGCTGGGTAACGGGTTTATGAACACCAAGTGGCATTTTGGCTTCTTCAGGAAAGCCATCACCAGAGAAGCACTCGCCAACTAAAATCTATTTAGCCAAGAAATGGGATGAACTGGGTTGAAATTCCCTTCCCAGCAAGGAAAAATCAACCCCACGGCTGCTTTCCAGAAGAGCAGATCCTGGGGAAAAGACTGGGATGAGACACCTTCGCATCTGACCCACTCGAAAAGGACAGAACAGTATCAGTTGTTCATATTTTCCACACTCTATTTCAGATGTTGTCACCTGCTGGGGCAGCCTTTAAGTGCTCTTAGAGGAAAACATCAGAATATCTCAAAAAAACCCAACTAGATTTTATTCTTGTCTTACCAGCCCATTCGATGCTAAAATCTATTACCGAGCTCACAATACGACTGACATTTACAAAATAGTAATTGTTTCTAATATATCATTAGTGGAAAACTTGTGTTCCCTTGTATTAAATATACCTTTTTCATCTCAGATTCCAACTGCTCTGAGCCCATCTGCTGAGCTGGGTACCAGTTTTCGGTGTTAATGATGCTTACAAATGAGTTTCTGCTAATAGTCCTTGGGAAGCCAATTTCTTAACACGTAACTCATTAATATCATAGAATGGGTTGGGTTGGAAGGGACCTTAAAGAAGTCCAGTGATGACATTTGGAGCTTTATTACTCTAGTTTCAGGTTTTTATCCCTTCTGCACCAGACTCCACCTATGAGATCTGCCTCAATAAGCGACACAGACATTGGATCCTGAGGGAAAGGCTGGGGTGAGACACCTTCACATCTGACCCACTCAAGAAGGACAGAACAGTATCAGTGGTTCACATTTTCCATGCTCTATTTCAGATGTTGTCACCTGCTGGGCCAGCCTTTAAGTGCTCTTAGAGGAAAACATCAGAATATCTCAAAAAAACCCAACTAGATTTTATTCTTGTCTTACCAGCCCATTCGATGCTAAAATCTATTACCGAGCTCACAATACGACTGACATTTACAAAATAGTAATTGTTTCTAATATATCATTAGTGGAAAACTTGTGTTCCCTTGTATTAAATATACCTTTTTCATCTCAGATTCCAACTGCTCTGAGCCCATCTGCTGAGCTGGGTACCAGTTTTCGGTGTTAATGATGCTTACAAATGAGTTTCTGCTAATAGTCCTTGGGAAGCCAATTTCTTAACACGTAACTCATTAATATCATAGAATGGGTTGGGTTGGAAGGGACCTTAAAGAAGTCCAGTGATGACATTTGGAGCTTTATTACTCTAGTTTCAGGTTTTTATCCCTTCTGCACCAGACTCCACCTATGAGATCTGCCTCAATAAGCGACACAGACATTCACAAACACAAAACTAACCACAAAAAAAAGCCCATTCGCAGTTGAGGACAACCTACACCAAAATTAAAGATGTTAAAAAGTCACAAGAGGAATAAATACAGCTACAAAGATACTGAGGGGTCTGGAGCATCTCTCTGCTGAGGAAAGGCTGAGGGACTTGGGGCTTTTTAGTCTGGAGAAGAGAAGGCTGAGGGGGGATCTGATCAACACCTCTAAATCCTTCAAGGGTGGGTGTCAGGAGGATGGGGCCAGGCTTTTTTCAGTGGTGCCCAGGGACAGGCCAAGAGGAAATGGGCACAAACTTGAACAGAAGAAGTTCCATCTCAACATAAGGAGGATATTCTTCACTTTGAGGGTGGCAGAGCCCTGGCCGAGGCTGCCCAGAGAGGTGGTGGAGTCTCCTTCTCTGGAGACATTCAAACCCCACCTGGACACGTTCCTGTGGGACCTGCTCTGGGTGGCCCTGCTCTGGCAGGGGGTTGGACTGGATGATCTCCAGAGGTCCCTTCCAACCCCAGATCATGCTCCGATTCTGTGAAATAAAGCCATTTTAGCACCCAGAAACCCCATTACTGATATCAGCAAACCAACTATAAAGACTAATGTGATTAACTATTTATTTCCAAAGCAAACTACCCACCAAAATCAATGAAAACTGGAGAGGGCTCCAGCTGCGGAGCGAAGGTGTGGTGATAATTTAGTATTTGTTCAGGAAAACCCATAAACCACGTGTTGGCATTTCATACTAAAGTGCCGTAGGCGAACACATGGGTTTTCATTAGACCAGCACAAAAGGTTTGCTTTCTTAAACTTTATGCCAAACGTAACCTTTTTGTACGAGATCTTCCTTGTTCCATTCTCAATAACGCCTCTTGTTTTGCGGGAGAGAAACAAAGAACTCCAGTGTTGGGCTCAAGCGGGGAAATCAACTGGTTGTTTAACCTTTGGCATCGCCCGCAGCTCAGGAACGTGCTTCTTTCTTCCTTGAAGGTGCCCATCCATCACGTTTTACAGGCTTGAGAAAATGGTAGTTCAACCCAAGAAGAATTTGTAGAGAGATACGAAAAAGCCCGGTGCAGAACTTCTGATTTTAATGGCATTTGATGACACATTTCTTTCTTTTAAACTTCAGAGAATGGGATGAAGCTTCACTCAGTAAACATGTTACCACAAATCACAGCGTAAATCCCCATCCAAAGTTGAGTGAAATCATAGAATCACAGAATGGTTTGGGTTGGAAAAGACCTTAAAAATAATTCAATTCCAATCCCCCTGCCCTGGGCAGGGACACCTCCCACCAGACCAGGTTGCTCCAAGCCCCCTCCAACCTGGCCTTGAACTCCTCCAGGGATGGGGCAGCCACAGCTTCTTCACGCAACCTGGGCCAGGCTCTCACCACCCTCCCACCAAACAAGTTCTTCCCTACATCTCAGCTCCATCTCCCCTCTTTCAGTTTAAATCCATAAAAACTTTCCTTTAGCTCAGTTTCACTGGGGTACAGAGCATCACGACTTAAAGCCCTGTTCCGGAGGTGCGGTATTTCAAGGTGGGTGTATCTGCATCCCCAGGTGCCAGGTGGCTCATCAGATAATAGGATAATTAGGATAATCAGATATTAGGAAAATTTTTACACTGTAAGGGTCATTAAGCCTTGGAATGGGCTGCCCAGGGCAGTGGTTGAGGCACCATCCCTGGAGGGATTTAAGAGATGGGTTGACATAGAGCTTGGTGACATGGTTTAGTGATGGGTTTTATCAGAGTTAGGTTGATGGTTGGACTTGATGATCCTAAAGGTCCCTTCCAACCTGGACAATTCTATGATTCCAAACCTTTGGGTTTGAAGAAACACTAAAAAACTTTTTAATACAAATATCTAAAACTGCATTTCACCAAAACCACAATAACACTCTGCTCTCTGATGGCTGTGAAACAAGAAGGGGGTTTGATTTCATTTTCCCATTTCATTCCAAGGTTTGTATCATTGAATTTGAAAAAAAGAAAAAGTTCAGTTAATTATTTTTGAATGGTAATTACAATGGATTTCTTTCCAAGTATGCTATTTTTAGTCGATAATTATTGACATGAAAGGTCAAAACTGTCCAAAATCCCCTGCAAGCACCGGGCAACCTCTGCTCACCCTTTGTCCAAAGAAATGTACTCGATGACTCCGCTCGTGTTTGTTAATTAATCTGATGGCTGTGAAACAAGAAGGGGGTTTTGATTTCATTTTCCCACTTCATTCCAAGGTTTGTATCATTGAATTTGAAAAAAAAGAAAGTTCAGTTAATTATTTTTGAATGGTAATTACAATGGATTTCTTTCCAAGTATGCTATTTTTAGTCGATAATTATTGACATGAAAGGTCAAAACTGTCCAAAATCCCCTGCAAGCACCGGGCAACCTCTGCTCACCCTTTGTCCAAAGAAATGTACTCGATGACTCCGCTTGTGTTCGTTAATTAACACATAAAGCAGGATTTAGAACGAGCAAATATAAAATAGTATAAACAGACTGGCCGTCACATAAAACTGATTTTTACTCATGAAGAAGAGGCGTATCCTTTCT